ATTTTGGAACTGTGTTGCACTATTTTCAACAAACAAATGAACACAATATTGTCAAATAAGTCTGAACAAAAAGGTGACTGAGCGAGGTGTAAACTCCACATCTACCCACTGTGCCGTTCAGCTGAGTGTAGAATAGAGTTTCTCTCACTCAGTGGAAACTTCAGAACTTCTGGATGACATTTGCTCTGTGAGACTCATAATCTCCCAGAAGGTCCAAGACCAGATTGTAGAGACTGACTTTTGACGCCTCTACATGGCATCTCCACTGGTTCACAGCTGGCCTTTGGTGAGTCTCTTCGGCAGTCGGCCATCAGATCTGCATACTTGGCTAAACTGGACTTCAAAATATGAACGTTGGTCGGGCTTTGTTTTTAGACAGAACTTTTTTTTCAGCTATGACAATTTTGCCTTCCAATTTTGAAAATCTACTTTTTTTCATTTCCAAATGTTTAATTTATTTTTTTTTTATTTATTTATTTATTTATTTTTACCTCTGTTGTACAATCACCATGGTTTAGATCCGTGCCTCTGGAAGGATCTAACTGTTTATATCTCCTCTTTCCGGTCCTGCTGTAAAAACTGAACTGTATATTGGGGGATGTTCCAGGTCTGGTGAAAAGGAAATAATCTCTGTTTTGTATTCATAGTTATAAATATGAGCCAGGCCTGTGAATGGCAGCAGGACGAACAGATGTCATTGGCAGCCACTGTAAGCTCCGAGATTTGGCTCAGTGAGCTAAGGTGCATGCTGGGTATGAAGCCAGGGTTGCCATGCTAATACAGACTGAATATTCCATGTATCATACACAGCCATTTGGTAATTTCTGGGTAAAGGAAAAAGTCAAAAGAAATGAGGAATATAAAGAGGGGATATAAATACTGTCTTATTTTGTAAGTTTTCAAAATGGACAATTCCTAATTTTGCATATATTTTTAGATGGGGAAACATTTGCACACATGCAAAAGACAACTGTTTTAAAATGTTTGAATGTATTATTCATGAAGTATATGGAGGCCATGTGAATCTACAGCAGGCTGGTGCTCTTCAAATAAAATATTAAAATGTAAAAAGGTTTTGCCCAGAGCTAGAATACATTTCTTAAAGTGCATTTTGACAAATGTATATTTTCAGTTCACTTTTGTGCAATCACTGGACATGACGAGGAAGGAACAATTCATTTTCCTCTGATTAAACATTAGAACTAGTCGCACAAAGTCAAGAACATCCAAACTCTGGCCAGAAGTTTTTTTCACATCTTGTGAAGTAAAAAAATCTTCCTTCCCAAAGTCAATGTCATTCCTGGACCAGGGAGACATTAAAAGCGAACAGGAGACTAACTTTATAACCCAACATCCTCTTCTTTATGGGTGTCATTAAAAGATGAAGCAAAGACACAAATAAAATTAAAACTAGCATCTGCTCTATTCCCTACTTCACCGGGGCTTGTTTTCTTTTGACTGCACCCTTGTGTGCATTTCCACGGCCACTCAAGACACATTGGACCTTTCTTTAATGTGGTTTCTTTGTGAGTGTTTCTTCCATAACTTGGAAGAAGAACAAGGAGCAGTGAGTTTGCTTCATTTCTGTTATAAACTTCTTTTTTTACATTTGTTTATCCACATATTCAGATAAGACTCTGGTCTAATTAATCATTCACAATCTATGTTTGACAAATAACAGCTTTATATCAGCTCTTCCTCATCACCAATTAACAGAATGATTCTTCAAACAGTTCCCTATTGACCAGTAACTGCTGTGCTGTGGTTGGGTGGAGGATTCTGACAGCAGCTTCTCCCTAAAGCCAAAGGTCAAGCTCCATGAGTCCTCTCCACTAATTGGAGTTCCTCATTTCAGGGAGCGTTGACCCTTCCCAGACTACCAAATCTAATTGTATCTCTCTGGAATTCACCCGTTGTCTTCCCAAACACCCCGCTGGTTGCAACTTCTGATGTAGATTTCCACTTTGCCTTCAGGCTACACTGGTCATTTCATGTACAGCTATTGATGAGCTGTCCAAACCCAGGCTGAACGTCTACACATCTCATTTCTAAGCTGCGAGGCTCCGTTGGTTTGTTGCCTTACATATTTACTTTGGAGTTTCTCTGGTGCCTCATTTCTGCGTGCTGACTTGCCTAATAACCTTTCGCACCTGCCTCTCGCATTAACTGAGGGCTCTCCATCCTCTGACCATCAAGAGTCCGCCTGCTGCCTGGCAGATGCTCTGCGCTTTGCTTCAGGGAGATGAGGAGGCTCAGTGCTGCTCCCACTCTGATGAGAAAACCACAGCCCCATTGGTGGAGAGGGGTCTAATTAAAATTGACCCACCCAGCATCCTCGACTTGAGAACCAAAATACCAAATGTCAAGAATCAGAGAATCTGCTTACTGAGGGAAAAGTAACCCCTGATTAATGTAGTTCTTTAACGTGTTCAGTGTGGTCAGAGAACTGCTGCAGTGTTAAAGTAATAAACAAACAAAAACTTCAGTAAAGAAAGAAACAGTCATGACCATGGCCTAATATTTATTTAAAGATTCTCCTTTTACATCTTTACTATCTATAATACAGTATAAAGGACCGCTGGAGTATTCACTGGTTGAGAACATATTTTCAATTATAAATGTAATTATTATTTAACAAAAATGTATTATTTGTTGAATAATCCCAGAAATCAAACACCACGTTCCCACACTCTTGTTCTTTAACTAGTCAGTCAAACAAAGTTATAAATGCTGCACATGCCAGGTTTCACTTTCTATTTCTATTTCTGCAGTCTTAGTTCTGGAGTTCTTCCACCTTCGTCTTCCCTCTGAAGCCCCTGGACACAGACAGTGGACCCTTACAGAGGCACACTTTAATCCAGCAGGAACCTACTGTGGATACATGGGTGACTCTGCAGCTCAGGCTGCGGCTCTACAGAGTAAAACTGTTCCTGCACCTGTTCACATCAGCTTAAATCTTTAACCACAGAGCAGAGCTCAGCACTGGACTTTTAATGTGCTCCTCCACCCAGATTAAAAACTTGTATATTTTGACAATCATTTTCTGAGACACTGTCCAGTCAGCAGAGCTTAACCTGATGAATATTCAGCTTTGAATACCACATACTGTGTAGAATGTGCACACCTGCTGCTGTTAAGGCTAACGAATGCTAATGAGCCAAAGCTATAGGACCTTCTGAAGAACATGAAAGAAACCATTCATTCAGTACCTAAGCTGGTGAGTTGTTCAGACAGTTGGTCCAAAAGAGATCATTATTCGAGGGAGATATGACTCTTCTAGTGAAAACCCAGCTTCCAGATTTCTTTATTAAAGTAAATGTTTCCTATAGAAAAATCACTTTAGTCACCTGTGCTTTAAAAAAAAAAGCTTCATCCTGTGGAGAGGAAACCCCCACAGGTTATGTTGTTATGCCTTGAGGAGTAAAGGAGGAGAAGGAGGTTTCATCTGCAGACCCCTCTTCTGTGGAACCCTCTCCTGCTTTGGGATCTGGAGACAGACACCATCTGTACCAGAACAACTCACTTTAAAAACATATCTACCTTGACAAAGTAGATACTGTGGTGACTGTAAATAGCCTGGTATTTCCACAGCTATAGCAACTGTCTGCAGGGAGGAAACTCCCATGATGCATTGCACATTTCCTCTCAGTACTTTCTCTTTTTCCTGTCTCTGTAAAAAACAGAAAAGATAGAACAAATGTTTTCTTTAACGTTTGCTGCTGAGTCTGTACTACTACAAAACCGTGCTAAGGGCAGCAGTACCAGACACTACTATGGTACCAGAATGATTTTGTTGGCAATATTACACATTACTACAAAAATAATAAGCTAAAATAACAAGCACTACACGTGACTGTGAGAAGAGCCAGCTTTCCCAGACTGGAAACGGAAATATTTATTTTATTATAAGTAGCAAATTTACCAAGCGGTCAGACCTGAGGGACTTTGTCTGTGTGTGTGTGTGTGTGAGAGTGTGTGTACTTCTTTTGCACAGAGTGAGTGCTGGCATGATTCCAGGACAGTACATTACTATCAGAGCTAGGAGGGAGGAACGAGCAGATATGCACGGATCAGCCAAATCTCTGGACTGAACAGCTGGATACGTTAGAGATGAGTGGGCTCCCACCCTGGGGTTGTTGTATTGAGGAACACACACATATACACATACACACACAAAACAGAAAGTAAGGGTGTCAGTGGCAAGAGAGTTAACTCGCATAACAAAACATAATAGTGCAAAATATTTAATTTCATTATAAATATTTGACATAAATACAAAAGAAAAAAATATCATACTATATCATGCTATTTATTTTGAGGGCTCTGTTAGATATTTTGTTTTAAATGCAGCTTCCTCATGCTGTCTCATCAATAGGCCTTACTCCCCTTTAAAGAGAAACTCTCCAGCAACATTTGTCTTACTGGTTATTACTACTGTAATGTAAAAATAAAAATACTGTACAAACTAAGGAAAATAATAATAATAAAAACTTTTTATTTGCCCCTTGTTGGCCATGACCTACCATCATCATATGGACCAGGGTGCACAAACTCAAATAGTAGTGCCCCCTGCAGGAGAAAATAAGAAGTGAATAATCTCTGTATACCAAAGGGTGCGCAATTAGTTCCACAAAGAGCCTCTGTGGCTGCAGCTTTTTGTTCCAACCTATCCAGAACACACTGACTGACCAATCAGCTGTCTGAAGACTCAGATCAGTTGATTAATTAAGCCAAGTCAGGTGTGCTGCTGATTGGTTGGAACATAAACAATAAGGCCTCGGACAAATAAAGTACTATATATACAGTATATATACAGTATATATATATATATGTATATATATATATGTATATATGTATATATGTATATATATATATATAGGGAGAGAGCGAGAGAGAGAGAGAGAGAGAGAGAGAGTTTACAAACAACTCATTCAAAGGCATTCTTTATAGGAAGCTGATCCTGGCAGGTGCAGGAGGGAGGGTGAAGCATCATCAGCATCATCATCATCATCAGCAGCAGCAGCAGCAGCAGCGCGGTCATAGCGCAGCAGCAGCAGCAGCAGCGTCAGAGAGCACAACAACTAGACAGATCGACGGACAGACGGCAGACAGGGATGAGTCGACCTAAATTAATTTAGGGTCGCAATTATCCTGGAACTCCTCTGGGAGCTCAGCAGAAGAAAATTAATGAGGAAGAAGGGCGGAGAAACTCCAACGTGACAGACGATGGAAAAGTCTTGATAAGAAGAGGAGTACGAGAAGTAGGAGGAAAAGAAGAGGAGGAGAAGTGTCCTGCACAGAGATGGACATGTGTTTCTGCTGGAGACCAGAGTAAAGCTGGAGAAGTCGAGGATGTTTCCTTCACTGGGAGCCCCTTCTGGTGAGTTCACTCCACCGACCACAAAACAAAACAAAAAACAAAACACAGACCTACTTTTTCTCTGTTTCTCAGCAGTTTGCAGTTAAAGCTACACGATGTTCCAGAACCATTTCTATTGTTGGCCCCGTTCTCTTATTTATAGGGTTTTGGATTTAGGTCTCAATCTGCTGCTTCCCGCCCCTACAGGCACCGCAGCAGTTTTTATTCCATTTGTGTGAAAGTTCAGAATATCTCAGTATTACTTCAGTACACACGTGTACTCGTTTTCCTTAAATGCAACCACTTATTAACACTTAATGGTCCTCAAATCCTCCTGTTATTGGAATTCGTACTCTCCGAAGTTTGTAAACAATAAACACGCAGCTTCTGGCGTTGATTTTAAATCGTTGTTGTTAAATATCTTGTTCGATAATAAATGAATAAATTAAGGTACATTATTTTTTAACATAACAAAATATATAAAACATGTTTTATTACTATTATTATTCTCAACAAAAAAAATGTAAAGCTTTGATTTATAAATGAGAATTTGGGAAAATTCAAACTGGATAGAATCTGAAGTCCAGTTGCTACTGAGAGGCCATTTGGAGAACTGTGACCTCCATGAAGTTTGAGAGAATATAATATACATGGGAATTTATAGTGTTCACCCCCTTTACATTAGCATTGAACTATATGATATTATGGTCAAATTCAAATTTTTAAGAAAATGTTAATCAGTAAGTTCTTCCAAATGTATGTGATGTGTCTTTTTTTTCCTGCACTCGTCCGTGTTTGCGTTGGTTTAGCATCTTCGTGGGTCTTGGTTGTTTGTGAAGGTGAAGTGTAGAATATTTATTGCTCCATTACTCTAGGAAAGGCCAAAGCAAATTGTGTTCTAATTGCCAACATGAATATGCAGTTACCAGCAGAGAGTGCGGTAGGTTACTTTTCACTTTTACTGATTTACAGGACGGTTAGTCCGAACAGGAAGCTGAGCTACCAGGACAGAATATAATTTATAAGCTCTAGGTAAATGTAGGACAAACAGGTGAAACTTTAGTTTGAACAATGTTCCTCACTCTTGTGAAGCCTTTGCCAGTTATCACCACTACCACCACCACCACCACTCTGCAGTGTTATAAAACCTGACATCAGCAGTTCTGTGAGAACTGTGAGGTGAGCTCACACCATCTGCAAACTGCTCCTTCTCCTCCTCCTCCTTGTGTCATAACTAGGACATGCATCACATTGGTTATCATGTGGTTCTGGTGGAGCACATCACCATCAAGGGACAACCAAGGATTTGACACTTGGGACGCTGCCAAATAGCCAATTTAATCAGAGGGCATTTTATGCACAGGAAGTATGTCAGTCTCCTTGTTAAGAAATGATTTATCTGCACTGATATATTGAGCGCTCACTGTAGTCCCACATTGATTAATCCTCAGGCTGTATGACAGATCTTTAACTTCACTTAGCTCTGCCTGCAGTCATAGACACATGCAGTAAATGAAATTTGAGCTGCATGTTCAGTGTACCCTGGCTTTATTTAAGGTATTAGAATGACAGTTGTACAGAGTCCAAAGGACTGAGTTCTGTATAACTCTACAGGTGTCTTTGTGTCAGATACAGAGCAATCTTTGTATTTCTTGTATTTCCTGTATCAATTTCAGGTGAAAGATTCACATTACTGAGTTGATTATGGCAGTAATTTCAGCACACCTGCATTGATATCTGGCAAACAAGGAAGGACATGAACAAGGAAGGCAGTGTGTGGAAACCATGCCATGCTCAGAGCACCATAAAGTCTGCTTTATTTCATGCACTGTTAAACTCCTAGAAAATATTTTTTAATCATGAAAACATAACAAAACTTAGAAAAAAGTTGAATGTCCGAAAGACCCTAAATTAGATGATGAGGAGTGAGGGAAGGGGTCAAATAATGGTCTTTAAAGACCACAGAAAGTGTCAGTAAAGGACCCCTGAGCATAGGGACTGACCTTCAGGCCTAAAGCAGCTGGAGAGCCAGTTGAATATGTTGCTGCAGAGTCTTTTTAAATTCCCTGTGGATGTCGGCTATTCAGGTCACACTACCTGCTGTAGCGCTTTATTTAAGGCCACAATTTTACTGCCACTAAAGAAATGAAAAGCTGAATGTTACTGCCCCCAGGCTTAGGGTAAAAAGCAGCCATGTGTTGTTTGCACGTGAAAGTTCTTTAAGGTTGGCATATATATTTATTTCTGGTCCCTTTTGAATACTTTTCCATCTAAATTCAAAGGTCACTCTTTATATATGGTACACTCAACTTACTAAACCACTTCAACAACCCAGGGATTATGTGTCAAAGCCAGGGACCCATAGGCATATAGATATATGGACATGACTGGGGGTCAGTAATTTCACAGTACCTTCTATACGAAAGACACAAACATACACATATACATATACATATATATATTTATATATGTAATTATTAACATGTTAATCACTTGCTGTTAAATTATTTTAATTAATTATCAAGTTGTGAATTAATTAATTACATTGTATAGCTTAATTTAATATATGTAGATTGAAAAGCGCCATCTTCTGGTCAGACCTGTCAGTCCAGCCTCACTGAGTGCAGGGCAGTAGATAAGTCTACCACTGACAAGCAGACATAATTGTCTAATGGATTGTTAGGGACTGTAGACTGATTAATATTGTTGAGGACAACTACTCCACAGACATTTTGAAAAGCAACTCTCGACACATTCTAGTAACAGCTGAGAGACACACAGTAATTACTAAAATCTAGCAACTCTATGAACCTTGATTTAGATTTTTTTAGTTTGGCACATGTTTGATGGCATTTTTCCATATGGATAATTCTAATCTTTTGAATTAGTCACTAAAGTTTGAAAGACCT